GAGTGAAAGCCCTCACCAGCACAACAGCACTCAAACCTCACCATGCTGTCCCAGAGCTTATCACTAGTAACCCCGTCCTGCCTTGCACCTCTGCAGAGTCACCTTCCTGAGCAATGGCCATGGCTTCTGCAGGAGGGGACAGCCAGCGCCTCTGGCACATGGAGGGCTGCTACACCTCAGTGCAATGCTTCAAGCAACAGACGACAGCACGTGCCACTGCACTGAAGCTTCGTGCTGTGGACTCAACTGAGACCTTGGTCCTTGGAAGGAAAACCAGCCTGAGAAGGCAGGCCAAGCCCCTTTGCCAACTGCCACCTTGCATCGAGCTGCAAAGATGGGGTCAGTCTCATTTTTGTTGGGGATGCCCCTTGTGTCCATTGCACAAACACCATCTTGATACAGCCTCTAACCACCACATCACTCACGAGCCCCTCTCTGTACACAAATAACACGTCCAGCAGGGTGCCTTCCCTAGTTGGCTCAGCCACCAGCTGTGTCAGGAAGTTATCTTCCACACACTCCAGGAACCTCCTAGCCTGTTTCCTCCCTGCTGTATTGTATTTCTAGTGGACATCTGGCAAGTTGAAGTCTCCCATGTGAACAAGGGCTAGCGATTGTGAGACTTCTCCCAGCTGCTTATAGAAAATTTCATGTGCCTCTTCATCTGGTTGGGTGGTCTATAACAGACTCCCACCATGGTATCTGCCTTGTTGGCCTTTCCTCTGACTCTTACCCATAAACACTTGACCCTTTCATCACCATCGTCAACCTCCAGACAATCAAAACTTTTCCTAACAAAAAGGGCTACTCCACCACCTCTCCTTCCTTGCTTATCCCTCCTGAAGAGTTTATAGCCATCCATTGCAGCACTCATATTCAATTTTCTCGAACAATCTTGAATGATCTAGAGGCTCATCCCTCTATTCATTAATGAAAAGGCATAAACGTGTATTTTCAGCACTGTATTTTCAATTCAATGTCATGGTCATTTTCCAAAGCCTGGAATAAGAAGTAGTTAGAGCACAGTCTAGGATTTACAAATCCTCAATAGACATTTAAATTCTCAGGCTTTTTCAGAAGGAAGCAAAAGGCAGTTTAGGGATCAACATAGAAAATGGTCAGGTACAATGATCACAACTCACTGGATCCTTGCTTCCTTATCATTTGCTCTGTCCATCAACTGCTTTAAGTTTGCATGAAATTGTGAGTACTTGATTATCACCGAAGGCCGTGTATCAATGACTTCCTTGTTCCAGGCAATAGAAAAGCTCAGGGCACTGAGGTAGAGGTCTGTAGTTTACAAAACACCTATCGAAAAATTAAATACAGTCTCTGCCACAAACATGAAAGTAGCCTAACCACTCTAATATTTACAAAGCAGTTTCTTGGTGTTCCATATTTTTGGTTGTCCATTTCAAAAGCCAAGCATTAGCTAAATGCTCAGGGCTAGCTAAACACTGAAGTGCTCTTCAGTACACAAGAAAACACAAGTGTAGTCTAAAAAATAACTTGCAACTCAAACTAGTTAATGAAGAGTTGGTGGGTTGGTTTTGGGTTTGTTTTTTTTTTAAGCAGTACTTTTTGACTCTGTAGCCTTTAATGACAACAGGATAATATTTCAGAGGTAAGTTATGTGAAGACAAAAATATCTTAAATACCCCATATCATAGTATGTGTCACCACAGGAAGTCCCACAAATATTCAGTAAAGCTGTATTTTGAGTAAGGTTCAAACAGATGTGGTAATAAGATATGGAACAGCCTATCTTAGAAGAAAAATAAAAATTGAGCATCTGAGAACTGAATACATCCTTAAAACTATTAGCTCAGTTACAATCACTCATCCTGAAAACTTAAAGAGGAAGGTATCCTTGGAAAATACTGTTTAGTTTGATAAGACAATCAGTGAAGCTGTACAGTGGCTTAATTCTGACAAAACCAATTCTGCAATCTTCAAGTTTGAAATATCCTTTAAAAAAAAGCTACTAAAGGCTCCTAAAAAGCTACTGAAAAAAACATGGAAAACAAAATTTCTTAAGCACTCCAGTGTTAAAATTCCTAGTCTCAAAAAGAAGTTCTGAGGAAAACTTTAGTTTGAATAAAAAGAAACGTGAAATTGAAAAAAATTTTCACTTGCAATAGTTCTGTAGCTCTGTAAGAGCACAAGCAACTGAAAACATCTGTTTATGAAGTGAAATGCTATGGATTTTAACTAGAAGTCTAGCAACTGATTTTGCCTACTAACATTGTTCTCAAGTAAATACGCCCTTTTTTATTTCATATCAAATGCTTTACAGATAAGAATTATCATCTCAAGGTTGTGACTGAAGAACTAACTATAAGTCTTCCTTTTCTAGATACCTACCTAGCAAAATTCAAGACACATTTATTGCATATGTCACAGTATCTGTAATGGCTTTTATTCTAGGTGGCACAGACTGCATAGACTTTAATCCATGGAGACCCTGAGTAGATTTCCTAGTTACGAACACATGCATTGAAATCTTTCCCTCCATTGTTAACATTAGGTGTATTAAAACATATAAAAATAATACCTGTTAACTAAGCAAACATGACTATAACTGCAATGTTGAGGTAGCATTTCAAGTAATATACTTTCATATTCCTTGCCATCCAAACAGGTTAAAACTTTTCAGCAATTCTTAAACAGCTTCCACTATTTCATTCAAGACTGTAGGAAAGGGGGGAAAAAGGCAAGTTTTAAAAAACTATCTTTATTTTTTTGTCTTACATTTAAACAGGTATGTATTTCATTTTTAGACATCCAGCCAATGTTTACTTCATTAGTTTAGACAAGAAAAAAAAAGAATATAAATGCAGATCATATTGGCATAACCTGAACATACCCGCATCAGTACTGACCACTTAGCTTTGCTAGAAGAAAACCTTCTTCAGCATTAAAATCAAGCACTTAAAAAAAAAATAAAATGCTGAAAAGCAAGTGCCTAGATACTGGTCATTTCAGCAAATAAACAGCTTTTATATATTCAAATATTTTAAGTCCATAATATACACACTTTCTTGTTATGTGTATGGACTTCAGACCATACAAACAAGGTACAGGTCAAAAACCTCTGAGAATAAAACTAATCAGGTATGTGAGAAATATACTTAACCACATGTACTTACAAATCTTACAAAGCAACAAAGTTGGTCAAGTTCTACAAAGAAGGATGCGTTTTCATACGAGAATGGTCAAGTAACCTACCTTCCAGCTCAAATAAAAACAAAGAAGTAACTTCCATGAGTTTGAGATAATCAATAACACAAACTGGTGGAGTAGAAACTTATGACCTATTATACTGTATGTATTTGTAGGCCAAGTTCACTTTTTTAAAACAAAAACTTAAGATCATGAACAGTAATAATAACAAAGATCAAAGTATACATATGAGCACATAATCCAAACAACAAAATACACTTTTGGCTGTTAAGGAAAAATAAATTACAAAATACAATTAAAGCCCTTGCAAATGCAATAATGAATTCAAAGGTGTGCATTTATTTTAATATATATTTTAAATGCTACCACAAAACAGGTTAAAAATAAATAAGTATGCAAAAAGGGATGTGTGGATAGAAAAAAAATGCTAATTAACTCTAGAAGAATTAAAAAAAAAAGGACATAATCTGAATTTTGGTCAACAAATCTGTCTTTCACACCCCTTCTTCAGTAACTGACAGCTAAACATAACAAAAGCACACCTCTGTCATTATGGCTTTAAAAGAAGCATGTATTTTTTGAAGAAGAAAATATAAAATGGGCTGCCTTTCCTACAGAACTGCTGGTTTGTTTATATTGCAGGCACTTCATTGGACTGTGGGGAAGTACCTGACACATCCTTGCCATCCTATTATAGTAGTGCCATTACACTGAAAGACAAGAAATTTCCAGGAAAAAAAATCTCAGGAAATTTTGGGTGCTATGGGCTAGTACGGAGAGAAGGGAGAAGTCTCATTCACTTCCATTGCATTGCAAAACATTGCATGTTTTCTACATTAAAGAGTAAAATAATTTAGAAACAGTTCTCTAACATTACATGGCACATCCATATTTTCAAGTTAAAGATGTTGTCAATCTTCAATTACCTTAGTGAACATACAGCCTTTAACACTGATTCCACTTTAACCAGATTCACGTTTATTTCTTCTTTTGTAATTCCTCTGTAGATCTCTTTTGAAGGTATTTCAATCTTACTAACATTACTGGAAGCACAACTTAAATCATACAAACTTCTGTATTCTTTGTACAAACACTCTTGTAATTTCTACTGTACTGCAATTCCATTGTAGGCATAACAAAAGCAGGTTTTCAAACCCTGAGGCTACTGGAAATACTTTCTGTTCATTAGTATCACCAGCATCTAAACAACTGTCAACAGTTAAATACTCCTTCTCAGTATCGCTAGACAGCGACTGTACCATGATACCACAGGCAGGGTTTAATGCTGATAAAATTTGACTACAGTATCACCAGTAATACTGGGAGAAAAGAAAAAAAAAAATCAATGTAGTTGTCACAAAAGAAATGTGTTGCGCATCTCTCTTCTGCATTTTGAAGGAAACTGCTTTTGATATGCTGCTATGAACTCAAATAACAGATTTATGACATCTGTCTTCAGATAAGACACTAGCTAGTACTTCCTAGGACAGGAGAAATACTTTTCAAATTTAGTTTTGCTGAAGATACTGTTCATTTGTACCATTTCACTGGTCCATTTGTGGATGATCAAAGAAGCACTCATGTTTGACAAAACCTTGAAGCTTTCAGAATAGATGAATAAAAAGATGGATGCAGGAGAACCAAATCAAAGCACACAGGCATGACATTGTTTCAAAGGGAGTCCTTGGAAAACATGTGGTCATTACTGGGGGGTTGTTTGGTTCTGGTTTTGGTTTGGATTTTGGGTGGGGGTTTTTTTAAGATCACAAGACAGCAGTTGAACAAATGAGCATTTCCCATGTTCTGCTTGGTTCCAGTCATTTGTGGCACTGAATGGTTTTCCTTTTCTTCCGCTTGAAAAAACAGCAGCACCTGCAAGTGTGACATGAATTACATATGATATAAAAAGAAATCACAAACCTAAACTGTTTACCATATTTGTTTCACTTGAAGTATGTAGTTCAGGTATAGCCAGCACTACAAGGAACACATTAAGCTCTACTGCAGGGGATTGATTTATTAGTGAAAGAAACTGAAATAGAGATTTTTTGACACATTTCGCCTTCTTTTGGGAAAAAGTATCAAATGAAAAAAACTATAATAAAAATAGCTATTAAGTTTAGAGTATTGTGTAAGCGTATCAAAAGCATGGGCATTATAGGCTGGCTCAAAAATGTATTTGTAAGAATAAGGAATGTTCCATTACCTGAGTCCTCTTTCACATTAACTGGCAATATGTCAAATAGAAGTTTGAGCTTAAGATTGCATCACTTGAACTGTGCACTCAAGATACTACTGTTGCTAATACAAGAAAACAGTTTGAGCTTCCTTTGTCAACCAGAACTTGGAAAATTCCCCAAGGCTATTCCCCAAAATATTTTAGAAGAAAATGTTCATGAACAATATAAATAATGTTTTGATTCAGTGCTGTGATGATATTACTAGTGAAAGATCACAGCTTTAAGTATATTGAAGTATATTGACATTCTTTCTTCTGCTTTAGTGCATACTACATGAAGCAAACTAAAATTGACAAATACTGCGAATTTCACTTAGCAAATAAAGACAATCTGAAAGTAACTGAAAAAAACACTACAAAAGGAAAAAGAATTGGAGGGAGTTAGAGATAGGTAATACAGAGGAGGACTCCAGAAGTCCAGGAAGTATTTTTGAAAATAAATTAAAGAGGAAAGCAACAAATACACACAGAAACCTTTTTAATTTGCATGTAAAGTTAGCCTATTCTAAGCAACTCCCAGCTCCTATCACCACCTTTAAAAAACACAAAAAAGCTCCCACTTAGTAAAGTATTCATAATTTGCAACCAGAAGTGAACATGCAAGCTGTCTACATTAACAGAGCTTGCCTCATGGAGTTCTGCAGTTTGGTTATTGAATTCTCACTTGCAGTGCTATATACTAAAGAGTTTTTCTTAAACTGTGAAGTACAGCAGAAGTGAAAATATAAACGTACTGCATCAATAGCCTATCAGTAAGTCCTTAAGCTCACTAAGCATTTTATGTCACTAAAATTCAAAAGGAATCCTGCTGATTTAGTTTGGACTATAGGAATTGGGGAAAGCATTTGAAAACCAGGGAGAATAAGGGTTTAAAAGTAAGGTTCTACAGGGTGTGAGAACAACATCCAAAGTAAGGGGAGACAGAAGTTACCTTCTCAAAATATCCAAGGGCACCCTGTCGCTCAGTCACTGAAAAAGTAGCAGTGGGCAGAGACAGACCAGAGCTGCTCTGAGAGTTACATAACTTTCAGTAGAAAAAAAACATTGGTTATTGACAGAGAGGAAGCCCAAAATTAAAATTCAACAGGGAAAACTACATATATAAATATTTTTACAGCTAACAGATATATCATACTGTATTTATTAACTTTAAAGTACTTCTAAAAGAGACATAATTGTTTCTGAAGGCTAGTAGCCACCAACTGCAACTGAAATTCCCCCATAACTAGTAACCCTTTTTCTTAGCATCAACCACTAACATCCATTATCACTTAAGCTTTGAATTTATATGCAGATGTATGGAGTCCAACTTAGTTTAATCGTTCTTTCACCCCAACCTTTTTGCAAGTATTTTATATATGTATACGCAACAAACATCATATCAAAACAAAGCATTTTAGAGTGTTCCTTCCCTTTCAGTGTGAATTATCCTATGACCCTGTAAATCAGGAAATCCTAACCTAGACTGTGATGGTAAATCACTTTTGTACCTGTTTCAGATTAGGAGGCCTCAGAGTAAGCTTACAGAAAAATTTTGTCTCGACTCATAGTTTTAGTATATACAGAACACAGGTTACATAAGTAACTGCAGGAAGATGGAATTGTGGCAGACAGCTAATTTATATTCTAGAAAAACAATCTAGAACTTTAACTCTTCACTGTTTAACTGTATTTTGCTTATATGGAGCATGTCTCAAGTAACAGCAGATCACACTTCTTAAATGTTTAGAACTCCTTGGATCGTCTGTGTAACTCAAGGACACTTTAAGTTTTCTTGCTTTCTTTCCCAGAAAATTTTAACCCATACTTGCTACAAATCTCATACTGTTCTTTATTCCTTCTTCATAGCTGTGGTTTAACCCCAGCCAGCAACTAAGCACCACGCAGCCGCTCACTCACTTCCCTCCCATCCGCTGGGATGGGGGAGAAAATCAGGAAAAGAAGTAAAACTCGTGTGTTGAGATAAGAACGGTTTAATAGAACAGAAAAGAAGAGACTAATAATGATAATGATAACACTAATAAAATGACAACAGTAGTAATAAAAGGATTGAAATGTACAAATGATGCGCAGGGCAATTGCTCACCACCCGCCGACCGACACCCAGCCAGTCCTCGAGCGGCGAATCCCTGCCCCCCCCCTTCCCAGTTCCTAAACTAGATGGGACATCACATGGTATGGAATACACCGTTGGCCAGTTTGGGTCAGGTGCCCTGGCTGGGCATGAGAAGCTGAAAAATCCTTGACTATAGTCTAAACACTACTGGGCAACAACTGAAAACATCAGTGTTATCAACATTCTTCTCATAACCAACTCAAAACATAGCACTGTACCAGCTACTAGGAAGACAGTTAACTACATCCCAGCTGAAACCAGGACAATAGCCTATTTAGTTTGCTACTTCTCTGTCAACCAGAGAAGGGCATCATGCAATGGGGAGTTCAAGAGTTCTATCTTTAACCAACATAAAGCATTGCTTTTTTAATCTCCCGGTCTTCTGGAGTTTGCATAATACTATTACAAAGAGTACAATTTCTATTAACAGGTTTGTTGTTTGTTTGGTTGTTTTTTTAAATTATAGGAACTATTCAACTGTATTCTAGCTCAGGGAATTTCACAAAATGCTGAAGAATGTTATTTGTGGGAAAATAAATCCCTTATTAATATATATCTAAAAAGTGTTAAAGGAATGCAAATTCCATAGAGCATTGTAAACCACAGGACTGACTTGGAAACTTACTGAAATGTATATTTATCAGCCTCGAAGTGCTAGACATGACAAACCTTCCAAGGCCAAACAGATGTCATTTTGAAATATATGCACATTTACATGGGAGTAAGACAGGTCAGACAACATTGTCTGATAATAAATTTTATGAAAGAAACATAACCCTGAGATTAGAGATCCATAGTGCATAATCTCTTGAAGAGTATAATTTATAACAGATATGTAGACATGTTCCTAAGAATACTGTCACTAGAGGGTGTCATTATTACTTTTATATATATATTATACTGCTTGAAGCCAAAGCAGATATTTAAAGCTGCAGATATGGGCAATATTAATGAGTATTAAACCACAAATTTACCATATTATCCAATATGCATGCAAAATGCATAAGAATAGATATGCTTTGAAAATTTCTGATTTTAGGAAAGGAACTTTCTTTTTAAAGAAAACATTTAATGACTGCTAACCTTTCTCTGTAGAGTATAAAACTTTTCCAGAGCAGGCAGTATAATACCGATTTATGAAACTCAAGAAACAACTTACTTTTCCTGTACAATCTAAGTGACCTTTCAGATATTATCTCAGGTAGCAATCTCAGTTGGTTACAAACATTTTTGTTCTACTTAAAACATTATCATACCTTTTTTTTGTTAAACACCCTCTACCACTTGAGCAGTCCCTCGGCACAACATGCTAAAGCAACTTTAGTTGTCATTTGTGTTTAGATAGCTGTGGTTTGTATTTGTCATCTAGCATGTGGCAGCACTCACTGCATAAACAGCAGGATTGTTAACAGGTGTTTAAAGTGGCAAAAACAGAATGCAAGATGCAAAAAGGACAGATCACATCATTTTCTGTGTGCCCTTCTCTATCCTCCCATGGCAGAACCTCTTGGTTATCTAAATTACACATGCTTACGCTTCATAGAAGCAACTGTTCTGATGGTTAGCAAAGAGTTAAGGAAAGAACGGCTAATTGCTCAGTAATACCTGAAAGACCCATCTGTAGCAGATAAGATCTACAAGTGCCAGGACAGAACAGTGATCAGGTTAGTTTTCTCCCTGCTTTACAATTCCAGTAACAACTGAAATAGGGCTGAAAGCTACTTTTCTAAACAAACAAAAAACCACAAAACACCACCCCCCCAAAAAAACCAAACCAAAACCAAAACACCAAAAAACCCAAAACCTAACACCCACTGCTAAGTCATGCTTGCTGCACATGCTTGCTGCACAGCAATACCTGAGGAGCATGAAGATGACAAGGCATAAGATTTAGAATATATACTGCATGTTTGATATATATTTATGTACTCACTATGGAAGTGTTGGATGAATGTCCCAAAACAATAAAATGCTTACTGAAAAAAATCCTTATCCTCTCTGATTTACAGAATCCCACTGAAATTGTAACAGGAGATCTAATATTCAGCTAAACAATATTCTTGTTCATAGTTAAAATCAGACATAAGGCACCCTTTCTTCAATCTTTTAAAAAAAGATATGGTTATGCTAAGCTTCTAAAACTTGAAAACATCTAGAACAGAGTGAAGTGTGTCTAAAAATTATTTAAGCTTGTCTCCTCAGAGTATGAGGAAATATTAAAACAGAAGATACCAGCAAGTGAGGTTAACTCTGTTGATATTTTCAGATGGAGAAAAGATTATGAAAGAGGCACAAAGTGACAGTCTTTGATAAAACAATGTCTCCTTAAAAACAAAAATGTCCGTAACACTGAATTCTTGCCAGAATAATAATAATACAGTACTCTGCAAAGATGGCAGATAAAGAACCGTCTCAGTGCTAGTGCACAAGTGTGGCACAACAGACACTTCCATTCACAATTTTTAATGACACAGGCAAATAAATCTCATACCAAAACCAGAACCTGTAGAATAATCACTTCAAGAAAAAAATTGTACTTTGAGAAATTTCCCCTTATCTAAAACTTAAAAAGTGGGTCCTACAAAAATTACTAGTATTAAAGAATGTTTACTGGATTTTTCTGCTACTAATGTATCCTTCATACTTCACTGCCTCTATTTTATGATAAACTGGATCCATACCCTTGTAAAATCCTATTCCAACCATGATTATAGAAGAAAACATGTTGGAAGTTATAATGCCTTCAGCTATCAAGAATATTTTTCTGTACTATTTTGCAAATCTGACTTTACTACTCAAATATATATACATTAGTTGTCCATCCCACATTAACAGACCTTAATATTTTCCACTTTCATACACTGTAACTTTAAGGAACCCTGAAGTTATGTTTTAGTAATTAGTTAGCAGGTTGTCAAAGACTAAGACTCTGGTAAATGCTACGTTTACACACATAACGGGCAAAGTTCAAGTATTTGCTAGCATTTATTACTTGTTCATATAAGTGAGGTATTTTCTAGATGTTAAAATACTAGCTGAATGCTACAACATCTGAAAAGAATGTTTTCCTCTCTAAAACAGGACAGCAAGTAAGAAAAAAAATGCTACTACCCACTGAAAAGGATTATATAAAGTACACCACAGACTACACAACTTAGAAGCAAGCAAGATTTGAGCAGGCAAAATAGCTCCTGAAGGTGGCTGTTTGTAAAAACAGTTAATTGTTTCACAATATTAAAACATGTTTTGTGATTTCCAAATGGACTTGTTGTTTTAAAGTTCTCTGAAATTAGTTTTAAACCAAAAAAAAGAATGAAGCCCCTAGGGCTATTTCTGCCTGCCTGTGCTGTAGAACTCACCACATGTTCAACACTTTCTGGCAGCTATACAGAGAGTAAGGGGAAAAAAAGAGAATCAGAATACCACACAGAGAAAGAATTTTACATCTTTCATACATAACTTTTGGTAGTCAGAACACTATCTTAAAATAAATATTACAGAATTAGTTGAAATATAAAAAATGCATGCACTTCCCTAGTATAGAGATGTGTTATTGAGGGCTTAGCCTAAAAAGCACAAGCTATAGAAAGTCTATTATTTAAATACTTAAAGCCAAAATTAATTATAGCACTATAGTTTTGCCCCTCACCAGTGGCTATTCAGTTTAGACAATATTTTTTTAATAACTACACAAGAAAAATTTTGAAGTAGCTGAGCACACAAGATCCAAAGAATATAAAAAGATGGACATACTTAGTTTCATCTGTTACTTCTACTTCTGCAGGAGCTGTGATGGGTGCATTCGAACAGCCTGCAGTTGGGTCATCTGTGTTCAGTTCTCCATTTGTTGAACTTACTACCTGAAATCACCAGAAATAACCTGAAATTATGCTAGTGTCAGACATATATTTGTCAATTCCTAAAGTTACAACACATCTTCAAAAATCAGTAATTTTTGTTAATTCCATAATTCTTTTTATTCTAACAATAGTATCTTCCAGGTTTTATCCCTGCATCCCTGCGCTCCTGCCTTTTTCTTTTCATATCTACTAGTGGGACTTACATCTACATGACAGACTCAAAGTGAGCAGACTGTAAGCAAAGCAATTCTGTTGATCGGGTTTGCTGATCTCCCTCGTGTCTCTTCAGAGCCTTAAGGGAAGGCACTAACCCATTTACTGATACCAATTCAGTCAGTCTTACCCTATCTCTGCTTCTTTAGCATATGTAAGCTCCTTAGCTTCCTTCTTCGTGTGGCCCGATCTAGTTGTATCTCAAGGAGTATTCACCAGAAGAGGGGAAAACTAAGACATTTTCTAGACCTAAAAGTGTAGGTGGTGTTTGGTTTTCACTCTTAGAGCACGAGAACACTTACTGCCATCAAACAAAACACAAACAAACAAAAAAATCAGTAATCTTCCCTCCCATTAATTTACTATCAAATTCCCTTTGTAAATTCTTGAGCCACCGGGACAGTTCTGGTTCTCTGGGAATGTTTGTTTTGACTTTAATCCAAATTGAACCCAATATTCTCTCTCTTGGCTCCTGTCAGCTTCCCTGCATGACAAATGGTGCTATTCCAGATGCCCCTCCCTTATTCACCTCATTGAATCTGCCGCGAAGATGGTTAACTGGCTACAGACAAGGGTGTATCTGGTCAGGGCAGCTGACAGTGCTAACTGACCCATTAAAGTATCAAGAGGTCTGCTAGCTCCAAAGCAGCAGCAAATGCTTGGCCAAGCAACATTGCACAAAAATACCTAAGAGCCTGCAGAAAACATCTGTAAAACATAATGAGCTACAGGGAAGTGGATCAATAGTAGTTCATAGTTCAAGATTCTTACCAGCTGTTGCCTGAAGGTCAGAGATTAAGGTAGAAAAAAGCAGAGGGAAGGAAAGTCATCATCATAATGTTACTATTCCCCTTACCCTCCCAAGCTCTCCTCTTAATGTAGCACTTGCATCTCATCTATTTATAACCAAAGCTAATAGCCTTGCCTATTGAGGTTTGCTTTGTGGTTCCTATTGTAACTAAGTACAGAGCTTCAGAAGTTTGCTGAACTTAAGCCATTTTCCATGCCATGTGCCTACATCAGGCTGAGTTTTCTTCTTTTTAGAGCTTCACTAAAATAGGAACCACTGCCAAAAAAACCCTGCAGCCCAATAATAAAACAAAAGGAAAGACGTCTGAAATTGCAAGAATCTAATTAGTTAAATTTTGGTCAATATAACTGAAGGAGTTTATTTCTGTGATGACAGGTAAGTCAGTGGAGTTTCAACCAGGTGGCTTAAGCTTTGTTTCATATCATTGGGGATAGCAGAAGCACAAAACATTCAATGACAGAAACAGGTAGGAATCATACTTTAACAAATCATAAGACAGTGGGTCAGGCATCTTAAACTGAACATCCTGGATTAGATTTTTATTTTTTTTCTTTACAAGTATCTTAATATTTGTGGTCATCATTGTCCATATCTACTGGTAAGGGGAAATAGTATGATCCCAACCATCTCACCAGGTATCTTACTGTGCAGATAATTTCATTGCTTCCTGTGAAATAATCCAGTTGTAACAGTGATAAACAGAGCAGAAACAGGTGGTGTTTGCATAGGAAGTACTTGCTAAATAAGACAGGATCATTCATGAAAATGCAAGGGTAAAAAAATTTGCTCAACTTGTCCACCAAATGAGCTTTGGATCCAAAGGATCCAAATCGTAACTACATAACTAATCACAGCTACAGCCTGCACTAACCCATATAAAGCAAAGCCACCCAATTAAGATTGTAGTCAAGCTCGCCTGCAGTCTTAATCATTCAGGATTTCTGCTCCATGTTCTAGACTTAAAATGAACTTCACTGAAGAGATCCTCAAACCTGTGCTCAAGGTTTAGTAACATAGGTTGATCAGAAACAGAAGCCTTTGCCGTCAGGGTAGGGTACATCAAGAAACAAGACAGGTATATACCCCTTTCTGGATTGGAAGCAAGCTCATACACCTTAGCATTCCTGACTGTTGTAAAGAACAGGTGACACTTTGCACAGGTATTTGCAAGAACTCCTGTTTTCTTCTCTTTTCCCACAAAAAGCAAATGAAAATATTTATGACTTTTACTCAAATATCAACACATTGTCCAGTTCTAGCATCTATGGAGCTTTCACATGGCATTCTCCTTCATGCTTCTTTCCCAGGAGTGCCTGTTCAATGACTCACCCTCTATCTTCTTGGACAGCAGGTTCAAAAAAAAAAAAAGGGGATCAAACTTAAGCATGTACACATGCTTCATTTGAACTGGAAAACACAGAATCATAAAATGGTTTGGGTTGGAAGAGACCTTAAAGATCAACTAGTTCCAATCCCCCGACTATGGACAGGGACACCTTCCACTAGAGCAGGTTGCTCAAAGCTCCATCCAACATGGCCTTCAACACTTCCAGGGATGGGGCATCCACAACTTCCCTGGCAACCTGTTCCAGTGCCTCACCACCCTCATGGAAGTAGATACCTAAAAATCCTTCCTATATTAATAATCTAGTTATGAATATTATTTTTCAACAATAGGTTGACAAAATCCATCTTTACCTTCTGATGTATAAAAAAGTCAGGAGAAAGTGAAAACATTTTGATAGGAACAAAACTTTATCTAAGCACATTTTTAACACCGCTAGAGGAAGTCTATTTTGGAGAGGCAGGCAGATCAGCAAAAAAAGGTTTGCTGCTCTGGTTCGAGACTCAGGGTTCCTATCAGCCTTTGTCAACAACTCTCTTACGGTTTCTTCAGAGCCTCTTCTGGCAATAGTTAAAAGAACACCTGCAAGATTTGACCAACTCATAAAAACAAAAAAACTCCTAGTTTATGACAGGTTTGTTTTGTTTTGTTTTAAATCACAGTTAGTCATACTAAGCTAAGCTGACTTTAGCTTTAAAGGAGCAATAACAATCTTCTGCTTGGGTCAAAGAACTGCCATATGGTAACAAAGAACAAAGCTTATTTCACAGTTTCCGAACACATTTATATGCTTATTAAAAAGGAAGCAGAGAAGCTGTAACAACCTGTTCAGGGATTCTTTTATTGAAATTCTTCAAACTGACTTCAAAACTGAATAATATTTTTTGACAGTGGTTTCCTTCAGTGGGAGAAGTCTTTATTTTGAAGACAGCATTTGTCCTAAGGTGCTTTTTTATTAATTTAAGAAAGTTTCTGTAAGAAACTTTGACACAAACTTTGTAGAAACCTTCGCAGCAGATAGCAGAAGACTGTCCTGCCTCACTGTGGTTGATCTCTACCAAAGAGACAGAGATCAAGGAGAAAGAGACCTCAGTCCTTCCCATATACATACAGCAGACACATCCACCAAATACACAACCAAATAGAACCAAGTATAACTGCCTGTTGCATGGCTTAGTTTAGATGGTAGGAAAATGAACTTCATGTTTCCGGGAAGAGTTGTGACCTCTGAAAGCATAAGTGAACCAAAGGGTATTGGTACTCTGAAAAACAGCATCAGTCATGCTTCTCCAGAATCACAAACGCCCTGAGTTTCACTCTAGTCTACTACTGCTGAAAACAGCTCTAGGAATGGTATCAGTAAGATGAAGAACCAACAATTAATACAGCTGCAACAGAGCAAAATATATACCTTAAAAAAAAAATTTAAATAACAAAGAATCATTTAAAGGAGCACAAGAGATAGGCAGGAGTGCTTCAGTTCCAGTATCAGTAAGGCTACAACTGTATGATCTTACAGTCATAAGTTCCATACCTTGATGAAATAACCTAGAGCACCAAAAGTTAATTCCCTGTGACATCAGTAAAATATTTTGCAATCTGATCAAAATTGCATTTGGTAAAAGACAGATAATGCAGAGTATATGAAGCAGTTTTAACACTCGTACAGTCCTGATCCTGGAGCATATGGGCTTAAGGTAGACCAACCATTAGACTTTTCTCTCTCAGACTACATGCCAATCGTCTCAAAAATCAGCACAACTTACACAGAAAGATATGGGAATATAACAAAATTGAACAAGAATCAGTCACCTGGAAGACAGCATATGCACTGAAGTTGGGGTACACCAAATGCTGTAGCGAGGATGTACCACAAATATGGCACAAAGAAGATTCATCATAGTGGATCCACATAAAAAGCTAAAATTTTATGAAAGGAGAGAGAAGAACCAATACACAAAACCAACAGTGCTTAAAGAGAAACTTTTCATTTCATTTCTCTACTTATGACTGCAGTTGAACTGGATTTCCTCAGTAGCCTGATGAAAGATGGGAGGCACAATTCATTTCTTAATAGATTTGTATACAATTGTAGTGAAAAAATGTGGATATTCAAGTTATATTTTTGCGCCTAAAAATGCTGTTAACAAGAAGTACATGAACATTTTTCCATGAGTAGTCACAGAATTAGGTTTCTGAAAACTAATATTTTAAAATAAATTTCAAATTAGAAGTGTTTCAATGTTGAAGATTAACCTAAGCTACTCACCTATATACACGTTGGGGATTAACCACTAAACTGAAAATCTAAAACAACTTCAAGCATTTTGATAACAGATCTTATCTTGGTTTAAATTTAGTTCCTTCAAATTTAATCAGTTCTTTAAAAGTTTAATTTGAAGAGCATATATATAAAGAAGCATATGCATCACATTGGCTGTTTCTTGCTAACATCTAAGCCGTAAGGCAAACAAACTTAAAGTACTAGACCCACTACCTAATAATGAGATATATTAATTGTGGATCAGATTAGTTTCTTAGATATATGGTCCTCTAGAAGCTTGATAAGGGCCAGTTATAATAAGACAAAGTTAAGCCTGAATACCAGTATGCCAAATGGTAACAATAAATCTTAAGGCTAGCCCCATGCTTTGCTTTGGATTGGTATGTAAACTAATCTTTTACTTGCCATGTTCAAAAATCAATCAGAAAGTCTCTCATAAAATAAATTTTGCTCATTTTCCTGCTTATAATCACAACAAGGAATTGCAGAAATTTGAAAGAGACATAGAAAATAATCCTTCATTTCATAACCAATCTCAAGTAACTGAATTCTCCACTCTTCAAAATATAAAGCCAGCCTTCATGCCTAAGGAATTTTTTATTGATATTACAGAATGCTGTATTTTACTTTCAAAAAGCTTCCACTTAAAAGAATAGAAAAAATTCACACTATCTTTTTAATTCACAAAAGCTTAGGGAAATTGATTTGTTTCATCTAACACATTGCTATCTTGACTTCTTGATGGAGAGTTGTCTTGCAACTCAAAACTACTTACATCAAATATCTAACCTTTCAAGCAGTTCCTAAGCACCTTTCAAGACCTATGGCACTTCACTGGGAACTCTTTAAACCTGATCTTTTAATGTAACCTGCTTTTAAAGAATTTCCAAATGGGAAAACAGAAAGAGAATGGATAAGAGGAAGGAGACTAGCTAGCAAGTGATAAAAAAAACTAATGAACAGATTAGTACGGTCTTTATGAGTTCATAACCAGTTTGCAGTTCATGCAGAGAAGGAAACACTTCAGTGTTGTACAACTGACATTTTTGGAACTGAGGCAAACATAAAAAAAAGACACAGGAAGTTGCTGAATGAATTGCTGGAAGTACAAGTTACTCTCATTAATAAGGCTACACAAACTAGAAAGGTGGACTGCCACACTACAGCTTTTTTATCTTATTAAAAATAGAGATAAGCAGAAGAAGGGATGTGAACTGTTTCTAGACGTCTTCCCTTTACAACTCAATTTACTAATAGTATTAGAACTTTAAACATGAACAGATGCTACAAAGTAAAATTAGACATGATTAAGCACATTGGTGTATCTCTAACATGGGCGTAGAGAGTCTGGGATAACTTAATACAAAACCCAGAATGATTACTATTAGTGAAAAGACCATTTAGGACCTGAATGTTTCCCACTTGAACATCATTATTAAGAGCATAAAAATATATACTAACATACAAATACACACATACCAACATTCAGCTCACTTGAATTTAATATGTCACAGTGAAGAATCACTAACACATTTTAAGTCTTCTACAAAAGGATCTCAGAGATGACTTCAGCAGTAGTATTACAGATGACTAATAGCAGTGACGTAAAAAACATGCCATTGTCACTTTAAAATAAAATTATCTGCCAGATTTTCATATCTTGCAGAAGAATGGATAATTCAGCATAAAACTGATCTCAAAGATGAGCAATGACTTGCTAATGTCACAGAAAAAATAAATGTTATGTTTCATACCTCAGACTCGACTCTCCCTTGAGCAATTATCTGTAGCACTTTTAGAACTTGTCTCCTTGGGAGCAATTAGGAATCCAGCTAACCTATCTAGCTAATCATCCAACTTAACAGCATGATTCAGTTAGTATCACTACAACAAAGGGTATTTGACAACAGTCAAGGGCTCAAACTTCAAAACAAAACTGAAGATGTTATGTAGTTTTACAAGTGCTTTTAATGAGGAAGCATGACCACTCCACATTAAAAAGCAACCCAATTAAGCTGGCTTGAAAATACCCTTCTGTACAACACTTGATCTTCAAAGACACAGACCAAATGGCTGCAGTTTTCCACACTGCTCTTTTTACAAGGCAACTGTTTAGTTCCAACTGATCTAAGTGATCTGAACTCAGAATGCCTATATCCTTTGGAAAAAAAAAAAAAAAAAAAAAAAAAGAAAAAAAATTATATTAACAGAAAGGAGTACTACTGGTATCTCCTAGAAAATGTTCTCCCTGGCACCAAAGGGTATGTAATGCATATTACAATGGAATGAAGTCTCTTGCAGTTGTTACATTTTACCTGAGAAAGAATTAAAAGTTTCTTAAGTGCTGCGATAGCCAAGAGAGTGATACTATATACAATTTGAAAGTTCTACTAACTGGAATTTAACAAGTTAAATATGTATTTTTCTAACCTAAAAAATAAAAATCAAAAAATAAGAAACATAATGATTTGAGGAGATACAATTTCAAATCCAACTTTGATTCCACACTACCATACTGTTCTTAAAAGGTAAATGACTACTTTTAAAACTGATGTTATTGAGAGAATTTTTGCAATTCAAGTTAAATATACAGGTAAAGTTTTCAAAATATTTGTTATTGAGAAGCATAGAACAATTTTTAAACTTCTGATACACAGTGATAATTATCATCTACTAGTTTTTCTTACATGACACAACAGTAGTTTCTAAAGCAGCAAAACTTAGAGAATGTTAAGTTTGAACTGAGTTTGAGTTGCAAAGTATTTAAAGAAGATACAGAATTATCACACTGGTGATACTACAGCACTGTTTTCTCTACCCTGGACTTCTCATTCTTTCTTCAGGCATTGACAATTTTTTTCCAAAACAAAACTTCAAAAGAAATATATGTAACTTAGATCGTCAGAATCAAAAATGCAGCAAACAAAAAAAATATTTTTCCCCCCAGATAACACTTTACAAAGCTAAATTATTTTCATTTTAGACTGAAAACTCGAAACCTCATACAGACTTTGCAGCTGGCATTTTGAATCCTTCTGTATTAAATGTAGATTTTTTACCTTTTTTCCCAATGATCTTGCCACTAAATATATCCACTGAAAAGTGAAAGCTGAAAAGTAAAATTAAGAGCAAACCAGGAAAAAAGCTCCTTGAAGATGAAATTAATAATAAAGGAAAACTTGTTGGGTTCTACTCATCTTTCTACTGATAAGTGTGAAGTACTGCCCTGGGAAACACTCTTTTAGTCAACTATTGTTTGAACAAAAGTAGTAAAGTTTAAACAAAAATCACTAGTTAACACTTTCATTTGAAGTTTGCTTAAGGAACATAAACCATGACTTGAACAACACTGAATTCAGTCAATATTGCTTTAGTTGCTAATACAACTAAATAACACATCGAATGCCTAAACTTTAGTTGTTTGCACTGATGTTAAGTGTATATTCCCTCAAAAAGAGAGACAGTTTCATTGTTTTAGGATTTCACTAAGAAACATATAGCAGAAATTCCACATAGAAGAAGATCCATAGTTTTCTGCAACTGTTTTAATTTCAGTTTGGCAACTGTGAAGTAGGGATTAATAGGAACATTCTGAACATTACTGGAAAGTGAACTTAATGTGAAAACAGGAATCATGTGAGGCACTACAGGAAACTAGTATTATGTAATGCAAAATGATCATGCAAAGCAGAATATACCTGTACTGAGCCACCATGTCTGTCAGCTGCTAGGTGAGCCCTCAAATGATGTGGATTGGCTTGCTGTGAGTCCCAAGCTGCCCTATGGTCTGTTGACTATCATTTTTGAATGCATTAGGAATATATGCAAAGAAAGGAAAAATTCAAAAAATGAACAATTCATTCTTTAATTATTACATATTATTTTTTAAAAGCACAGAAGCACTACATACTCAATTCCTATATAGGTTCTACATGAACATTATCTGCATACTTACATATGCCTACACGTACGTTTTCATAGAGAAGTAAAGTAGCTAAAACTCAAAATTCCTAGTAAGAAACAAAGTCCACCAACACAACCCTGTAACTTAGCTTAGGTAAATGGACACAGATCTAAATTCCTAAAGTTTTTACCACCTTGGTAATTATCCTGGTTTAAAAAACAAAAGTGAAAATGCTATACATACATGTTAGAACCCAACTAGACGATATAGCATATGGGGAAGAGACAGTGGTTAAAAAAAGAGAACTAAAAAAAATTTAAAGAAGTATCAGCAGAGAGAAAATTCACTACTGATATAAGCTATGTTATATCATAGCATAAAACAAGCAACCTTTTAGGACATTTCAGGGTCTACAGATGTAGTAATGCATTAACAAGGATAAACTTAAATCGAAGAAAAAACAAAGAAAACCTGGAATGTATTTTATTTTGGAGTTCTAATAAAAGCAACAACATAGCACAGATCATTAGACAAAAGACGAAGTAATGCTGATAATCTTATATGAGCTGTTTACCTGATTTTTGGATTGTTGCATTTTATCTCTGTGCTGATATGCTTCTCTGTTTGAAGACAATGCAGGGTCTGAATGTATTGAACCCACTGGAGTAGGCTACAAATACAAATAATATGTAGCAACTAGTAAAAAAAATAAATTTCTAAGTCTTGCCAGGAGTTATTGGTCTGTAGTAGAAATTAATCTTTAAATCTGACAGTTTCCCATAACCCAAAATCATCAAATTAAAGCAAAAGCTTCACTAGATATTTATTGATATCAAAGAGAAAAAAAGGCAAACCGAGACTTACACAATTTAATGAAGTAGCAATTCTAAGTATTATGAGACACTAATTTTCTGAAAGACTTCAGGCTGATACTTTCTGCAGTTAGCAGTTAGGACATTCTGATGAAAGCCTGAAGAAAGGCTTAAAGTAATTTTTAATGCTAAATGCTGAAAAAAGATTTAGCAATAAAATACTACAATTCTTTCAGAGAGTGACATATAGAACTTAAGGGTAAAATGTATAATCTGATATTGTCCAACACACACTATCCCTTCCCTACTTATTAAAAAGAAGCAATGAAAAATTTGAGATGCTGAAAATTTCATCTTCTACCCTTTCTTTAAAGAACATAAACACAGTATTTTCTGTAACTTTAGATGCACTGTGATGGAAACTGATATTCTGCATCATATTTCATTAGAATAATGCATATAGACAGTTTCTTCATAACAAACTGTTAAATATCTGGAGTATAACTCAGATGCAGGGAAGTGATTGCTCTACATTTTAAAAATACTGGGAGTAAGAAAGTCCCCAAAGCAAGAAAATACATGCAATAATGACGATCACCTGCAAAGTTTTAAACACCTTCTTAAACTCAAAACCCAGTCTGTATTCTTACAACCTTGTTTTGGATTGAACAGAGATTTACTTTAATATTAAGAGTACATGTTTGGAAAGAGACTCAGTATGAAATATCTCAAGCCAAAAGGTAATGTTTGAAAATGCATCTGAAAATTGGTTTGTCATAGCAGCTGTTCACAACAAATAGCAGCCATAAGATGCTCATGTTAGTTCTCAAACTAACAGTGGCTCAAAACCGATCACACAAAAAACCCCAGTATATTACTAATAACTTAATTGTACTCACCAACTGTTTGCCAATCCAGTCATATTCATAATCAAACATATAGCCTTTCCGATCAAGTAAGTCTGTGAAAAGCTTTCTTAAGTAGTCATAGTCCGGCTTTTCAAAAAAATCTAGGCTTCTTACATAATGTAGGTATGTAGCCATTTCCTCTATATAAATAAGAAATATACATAATTGCCTACTTGTTTTATTGGCACTCAAAAACCAGTACTTATTACATATTAAAGCATTCTACCTCTTCACCATAAAACCTGAGCAGTTGTTCACAGTGAATCTGTAAATTACCAGGAAGTTACTTAACAGTAATAATATCCTTCAAGATATACTGCTATATTCTAAACATATCCTACCACGTCACCCCCCATTAATTTTCCCTTTACATTACCTATCGAGATCTTCCATCCAACCTTCGAATCCTGATGCAGTGTGCCAAAAAAGTGGGGAGATAAATGCCTCTACTTCTCAATTTTTATTTTTGTTTTTTTCAATTAATTGTACAAAGACAAGCCTAAGGAAAGGTAAAGAAGGGGGTATTATGAATGTATAAGGCGGAATATGTCTCAAAGAACACCTGTTACTGGAACGTAACCTTCCTTCCTTTAAGAGAAGATCCACATGTATGTTCTAAAGCGGGCAACTCCAATTGTCCTGACAAAAAACACTTGCTGTAGGGTCTGTTGAGCTGCAACTGTAGTATGGCTATGGAAGTGCAACAGCACTGAATGTTTCAGGCATCATGTTACATAAAGGTATTGAGCAGAACTGCTACATATCCTGAACAGAAACACTGCACAGAAGTACTAAGGTTACCTGGGCTCTTGTAGAATAACTTCTGACCAGTGTCAGTTTAATATCGCTGTTTAAATACCTGATCGCTGTCAACAAACAAATGGAGATTCGTTTGGGAAGGCATTACATGGAAATTATAAGATTCTCCCAGTAGTGGAGACAACCAGGGAGATTTCTGAAAGGGCTTGGACCTGTAAAGATACAAGGAAAGAGCCTTCCTAGTCATTAAAGGGTATGACGTACAGACTGAGCACTAGCGGCCAGAAGCTTCTAGTTAAGACAAGAGTTCCAGCACAAATCTCTTGGCAAGTGAGTAGAGCATACAGAAGTCCCATTCCTGATAATGAGTTTAAGCCATGAAAAGCTTCTGACACAATAACTGTAAGGAACAAGCACCCTTAAGGACAGAAGACTACAAGAACCCAAGGGCTGAAAGGGAGGACCCATGAACACCTGAAGCACAAGCTCCAAATCCCACTGAGAAACTCCTCAGACATGTGACTACATTTGAAGTAACTCCATCAGGAATCAAGTCAAATTAGGGACATGTGGAAATACAACAGTCTGAGAAAACAGCAGATGGTGAGACAAGACAAATGTTAACAAGCTTTCACAAAAGACGAAGTCCTACAAGTCCTTCCACTCCAGCAGGTATTATAAGAAAGAACTAAAGTACTGGAAGACTGAAGAGAGCAGCAACCTAACCATACTGAAATTTTGGTTCATTCAGACTGCATCCATCCACATCTTCCTGTTACAGAAAGAAGAAAAAAAAAAAAAATCACACTGCAGTAGTTTGGAATAGAATACCGCAACAACTTCTTACAATCTGATGTGGACCAGGTGAAGCACTTGACCTGAGTCCTGCGACATTATTTCCAGGTAGACAGAGCTCTTGAAATCTAACTTGTTTAGGAAACTTTGTAGCTCATGAAAGAGTGGGAAACCACCCACTGGAAAGCCGTTACGAGAAAAGCAATGACTCCTCACTCTCATGCCAAAAAGGCTGTTCACGTGGTCCCAAAGTACAAGAGAAGGCACCTCTCTATGACCAGAAAGTCAGAGGACAAATAATGTTAAAAGTAGATGCCACCAGCACTCACTGATCCTCTGAAGAGGTACATATGTCATAAGCAGGACAACAGTATCGCTGCACACTCACCCTGACCCACACATCTCATTCCACTAAGTCTGGCGAAGCTGACATATTATGGTACAAACAAGGTCCTGTAAGAAGACCATCTTCTGACAGAGGATGGCTGAGAACTGCAGAGGCAGTGCTAAGACTGAGCTATGCTAAGTTAAACTCTTTCAAAGGTAGTGGGGTAGAAAGAGTGAGAAGTGAAGGTTTGAGACCAGCTTGATAATAAAAAGTCATGAAGTAGCATCAGGGTGGTGCTGTCACAAATGCACAACAGGACAATGGTGCTGAAACATCCTAAATTACTCGGTTCAGGCAAAAATAGAGTATTAAGCGCTATGTTTTAGGCACAAGTAGATGGAACAGTGGATAGGAAGAATTCCTTGGCACCTAAGGTCCAGCTCAGCAGATGAGCAAGAGTCGTCAGCAATACCAGCTGAGGAGATCAGTATTTGAAGAAGGTGAAGAGAAATGTCAACACATTGTGAGGGACCTCTTTAACAGTATTTTCCCAATGTAAACCAGAAACCAAAGCACGCAAGACATGTCTTTAGAGGTACGAAGGCTGGAACTCAGCCATTTAATGCAGCTTAATCTGTTACAACTGGCTGACTCCAAAAATCAAATACCACCCTTGTCATGCATTTGAAACACAAACTCCAGAGTTTAAATCCTTGTGCATATTTTATAAAAGGCTTGAAACAGCAGTAGTGTTGCACACTCAAAGACAGTACAATTCCACAGAACGGGATGAAAAAGATAAGTGTGACAAAGACCAAAGTATCTTTCACTGATACTACAGTGTTCTTGCCTCATGGAACATCAGTCAGCTAGCTCAGTCTGCAGGCTGACTAAAAAGAATTAAAATGACGGTGGATGTACTTCTCATTCCATTCTATGTCTCAAGTGACACGAAGGACAGGAAAAGGTATAAATCCCTGGATATGCAAAAAATTCCACATACAAGACTACATTTACTATGAAAATGTACATATGTACTATCAAAGAAGTTTATCTTTTGTGCCCTCCAAGGTCAAGTATCTCTTCCCTATTCCATTTTTCAGATCCAATCCTGTCAGCAAGCATGTACTTGATTAGATTTGGTGGAAACAGTCCACTAGAAATACGGAGCTACTCATGCATAATTATTTCCAGGAATTGCACCATATACATCTTAAATTAGATATTTAAAGGATTTTAGCAACTACACATAAAAATCAACATGCAAGACATGCATGCATTACTGGATGCAGATGATTTATATTCCAGAACAGGTTTTTTTCCCCCACATATAAACTTTTGTCAATTTACCAAACATATGTTCAGCCACTTGCTCCAAGTTCTGTAACAAAAGTGAATTTCACTTGATTTTACTATGTTTTTTAATACACAGAAAAAAGTGAAATGAAAAACTTATGAAAAATTGATAATAGAGTAATTTTTACCACAGGGTTGGAAAGAACTTCAAAAGGCCATCTAGTATACCACCCTGTCCCATACCAAATCACTTACAGCCTTTCTGTCTGGTTTGTTTTCACAGAACTCCAGTGAAAGAAGCTCCATAGTCTCCTTGGCAATGGTGATCCCTTCATGCTCTTCACTATATTTGAAACACGGGAGTTCAAGTCTAAACTTAACCGTTTTGGATTACATCCATTACTTTGTCCTAGCTGCTGTGGGTATAGCAAACTGATTCCTTTCACGTTTGTAGCAGCCAAAAGGTACATGAGAACTTCTTTCCCTCACAATCTTGACTAAACCAATCTTCATTCCTTCAGTCTTTGGTGATCGGTCTAGCAAATACGGCACATAAGCACTCACACTTCTTTGTAAGATACCCTTACAATGGGATACATTTTCTTGAAGTACAGTCCCCAAAATTGATCATATTGCTTCAGCTGAGGCTTTACAGAATCAAGTAGAGTAGAAATGGCAAATCATTCAGGCTATCCTGTTTATATAATCCAATTTAGTATGGGGGGGGGTGTTTGTTTGTTTTTAAAGATGTAGCACCATGACACTGTTCACTTGCATTTACTTTGTGACTGACTGACTTTGAGTCATTACCTAAGGAACTTTTCCATACCCAATAATTCTTAATTTGGATTTGATCCTATCTTCATAGACTGCCTTGAATATGTTTTATTGAACTGTACCTTATATTTTTAAGACTGTATTTGTGTCAGGATGCTTTCCTTCTAACCCCACTGTCCAGCTTACTAACTTCAAACTTACCATTTGCAAGTTTAATATACATTCTCGATTATACAAGGCACTCAAAAATACTGAGCAGATCCAGTAGAGATCGCTGTGGAATACCTGAAATGTTTCAAATGTGGCAACAACGTACTTAACTACTTCAAATTGTTTTACACTTTTCTTCCCATAGAAGATTCCTCTTAATTATACTTTTAAGATGACTTGTGAAGATATTTAAAAAGAAGGTCGAAAGCGTAAGTACTAAGATTTCATGACATAAAACATCTGCCTCCTGTCCACAAGGCCTGCTGTGGACAGGACTTCCTTTCATAAGAGGAAATCAAATCAGTTTGTCATGAGCTATTCTCAGCAAATCCACTGGTACTGTGATTACTTTGCAAGGTGTTTATTTTTATTTTGGCAAAATCGTGTCCATGTCATGGTGGTGCGTCCCCTGTCCCAAGCTGATTAGTCCAACTTTTTAAAGTGTCATATTTGCTACTCTCCAATTTTCCAATACCTCATTGATTCTCTGTGCACTTAAGGAGAAAAAGAAGTCACACCTGAAACTAATTGCAAGTTATGTTTAATATTATTTCAAGCTGTTCCTAATGCAGCTTGTTTTAAAAAGTGATAGGATATCAGATTTGAGCTGAAAAGGCTCGCAAAACTTTATGTGTGAAGACACATGTGTAGACTAGTTGATAACTGTAAGAATATGTATCAATTTTTTTTAATGTTTCCTTTAGAAGAATCTATCTTTGAGGAACACCAGCATTAGCTTACTGCTCTTTCAAAGGATAATTCTTGCATCTATTACCATAGTACATAATACACATATTTGGAAGCATTATTTTATTATTGTTTAAACCAGATATTAAACAACTATCAATGACAGTTTCGTTTTCTAACTCAATACATAACATTTTTATTAACAGTAGACATCACCTGGGAAGTTTTCACACAGCACTTCTATGGGGGTTGCTCGTTTTGTGTCTCCAATTTTCTGGTAACGTTCTTTTAATGTATCAGCCTATGACACAAAAACAAAACAAGCTTCTTAAGTTATACAGTTTGCAGACAAACTTTGAAAAAGAAAAAGATCATGGCAAGAAAAGCTGATGATCTGAAAATAGGATAAAGATACGAAAAATCACTACCTTTAAACCTTGCCACGGAAGGCCTCCTCTTAGAAAATACATAAACATGTGACCTAAAGCTTCCAAATCATCTCTTCTACTTTGCTCTGAAACAAAATTCAAATATTATTAGAACATTTAATCTGCATAGTTTTACATTATATTTAAAAGATTAGCTTCCAAATTATGGAAAAATAATTCTAAGGTATAAAGTACTTGAAATCAAAGTGATCATGAAAAGCAGATGCAGACTGTAGGTATATTCATCTCAACAGTACTTTAAACAAATTATCTTGCTCTAAGAAATTGTTCTTATTTGAAAATGTATTTTGACCCTTTACATATATAATTGCATTTTAATTCTGATTTTTTTTGATCCATTAGTTGTGAACTTGAAAAAATTTAAGAAAGCTTTAATTTAACTCATTTTTCCTCTATAAATCATGGAAAAGTTGATATGTTTCTCAGGAACCCCTTATGGAATTTCTGAGTAAGCCAAAGATGGACTGAAAGAGGCTCAAAAGTCTTATTATTTGATCAGAAAGCAGCATGGAGAGGCATGTACATACAGCCTGCTCTCAAGTCCAGCTGACTTAAAAGCTAAGTTAGAGAAGACAATGTCTGGCATTGCTACAATTTTTCATCTGTAGTAGAGCAGTGGCAGTCCTTCAAAAAGTTTACAGAAGGTTAAAGAAAAAGGAAAGTAACAAGGAAAATGCAGTGCATTCAAAGTTCACAGTTTTCAAAGTACATTCCATATTATTTTCAAATAAAATCCATTATTCTTAGGAAAGCTGAATTTAATAGAGAACAGTAAAAGTCTTTAAATGACTAGTAGAAAACAGATTTTTACATTTTCACCTGTCTTCATTCTGTACTGCTGTTGAAACAACTGTTACAGAGTGTATTATGATTTGTAGTAACAGGTAGTATCTACCTCTGACTTCCTCCCTGACAGAAGGCAGAAAACTAAAATATTAAGGTTGTTTCTACTCAGTATTTTCACAAAGACAAAAACACTATGCCTTGACAGCAAGAGAAATGGAGCAGAAAAATAAATGAAAAAATGTTTTGTTAGATTTTGAACACAGGAAAGTTAATAAAGCCAACATGGCTTCGATCGGATCAACACAAAATATTGCCACAAATACACTGCATCTGAAAAACAATTCTTAATCTTCATATAAAAAGAGCAATTTACTTATTACTCTGTTTTCTACCCCTATCTTCTCATGTGAACAGTGAGTAAACACATACTAGCAAATGAACAAGAAAAAAAACAAAAAAAAGTACGGTAATTCAGAGCATAGACTACATCTAGCCCCTTACTTCATCAGACCACACATCTGCCCGCCATGAGGCTCTTTCACAGTTATTTCTCCTTCACACGTTTCCATGTTTCCAATTGCCTTGCCAATACTCTTCTTGTTTGTGTCCACTCCTCCACTCTTATTGTCCACTGCTGCCACTTTTCTCACTGAGCGCCCTCCAGACAATCTGGTCTTATTTGAATTTCTCTGCCAACCCTGCAACATCCCATTCACTGACTGACCATATGCTATCCTGATGCCAACCACACAGGTTAAGAAGAAAGCAGGAATAAGCAGTAGAGTTCTGTGCCTGACAGGTTTCAGTACATGAAAGAAATGTTGACTCCAGTTGCCTGCAGAAATCCTGTACTCTTATGAGATAGGGTTGACACAGAGATCATGAGTACTTCAGAAGCACTGCTCATGACAAACATTTTGTGCATTGCAGTGTGTGGTTTATGTAAGAAAGATCAGTGGTAAGATAGTGCCAAAACATACACGTATGTCACAAGTGCACAACAGATGGCCCATCTATGGGCAACACTAAGGTACAGCCCACAAAAATGTACTGGAAAGTTCTATTTGGTCTTTGCTAAAGGGACAATAATTCCTCTTTTGCATTAACTTCTATAGCTTATGCTGATGAAAAATTAACCTCTTCTCCTTTCAAAAAATTAAAAAAAACTTACTGAGGCAATTGCTCCTTCACTGAGAGTCCTTTGTATGAAAGGAGAAACTTTCAATCTTTACCCTGAAATTCTTTCTAATTAAGAGGATTTTTTTTTTTTTTAATAGCTTTGGACCATTTGGAGATATTTCTGTAGGATAGAATCTGCTATGGGAAAGGATTTTTTTATTTGTTTTCATTTTGGGGGAAGAAGATTTTTATTTAGAATCCATCTGAGTTCTTCACTGATCGCTTTGGAGTAATTAAAAAATAGTAGTCAAATATCCTTTCCTATGGATGGAATTCTTCAAGATAAGCCTGAGAAACAGGAAACCCAAATATTATATTGCTATTGTTGGAAGAAGGACCTCTGAAAACTGGAAAAAAACTAGCAGTGGACCAGCTGAAACACAAAAGGATTTCAAGCATCGTCTGGAGGAAGGGCTGCTGATGTACGCTGATCCTAATGCATCACAATTTAATGAGATTGAGAGGATCTGTTGCCTAAAAGGTCATACGATCCTAAGATGACAAACACACAATAAAGCTTCAGGGCACACAGTTTTCTCTCTCTCGAGGTTACCTGAAGCTACCTAAATTAGTAAGAAACTAATACTTGATATTTAGTTCACAAGATATAAACAAATTAATCATCTCAATTCAAACAGGTTGATTTTAATAAGAACTAGAATCTCATTCAGCAGGCTATCTCCAGAAATTATCTTTTTTTAGCATACATGGTAAAGTAACCATAACACAGGTCGAAAAACAGACATTCAGTCTTCAGTAAGCATCCATTATAAACACTGCATTCCCCTCCAAAGTTTTACTGCTTGCTATAGGAATGCTGAAACAGTACAAACATACTATCCATTTAGATCAGAAAACACAGTATTAGCTACCAGGACAATTTCACAGTTTGATACACAGATTCATTACTGTAATCACAAAGTAGATGGAAAGTGACAATCCTGAACTGTCAGTCTATAAGGTTTAGCAAAAAAAACCAATTTGAAAGTTATCACCCAGAGTTTGTAGTCTTACTAAAAATGATATGATTCTGTACGATAATATAATTTGAGGCGAAAAAATAGCATCCCTTCCTGAACAAAATCATGAATCCTGAAGTTAATGATTCTGGTTCAGAAAAGTGAAGTTGTATGCCAATTTTATCATAAGTACACATTGTATGCCATACTGTTGTGTTAAGAATAATGTAGACTTTATGGAAAAAAAATACTATTTTCTGTTATACCTTTAATTAAGGAAGCAAAGATTTATTTAGCTCAGCTTGTATTAGAAGCTTTTTTTTCATATAATGATGGATTTGTAAGGTTAGTTTACACAGAAAAAAGTATTTATCTAAGGCAGCTACAATCCTGCCCCTGAGGTACAGTAATAATTCAGTAGGTACGAGAAGGAGACTAGTAAGCTTCCCATGGGAGTCCTAGGTCTGGAAAAGGAATTCATCCGCACTGCTGCCTCAGTGACAAGTAAAAGTTGCTGGGACTCCTGGAGGGTAATCAGCACAAAGCACAGCACCTAAATACAGAATATCAGAATTTCCCAGTCAGAATCTACATTCTCTGGCATCCCCCTCTCTCCCTTCCTGAAAATGAAGGGGACTGGAAAAGAAGCATGGAGTAATTTTATCCCCAAAAGAAATTTCCTTATAGAAGCAAGGGCACCAGCTACATGCTGATAAGGGCTGCAGAATATTTCTATTTCCTTCAAACAGCTATTTGAATAATGCCACATTGTTTTTCACATAGACAAAATATCTTCTATTCCATATACAAACTCCCAGCTTGGCACAAAACTACCAGAAACTCTTGACCAAATGTCTGTTTCTGGAACAAAAGGTTCTTGAAATAACTGGCTACATGAGGTTCAGTAGCTATACATCACCTTCTATATACACCTCAAAAGAGTGGGCCTTGAAAATCTTGTGCAAGTTTCAAGTAAACATATGCAAACATTTAAAGTCTTTCTATTGACTATGCACTTGTTATGACAGTTTTAAACACTATGGATCCTAAAATATACTTTTGATCAAAGGACAACATACTTTCTTATTCGTACGTACTAACGTAGAACCAGTTACAGTTCAACAAATGCATACTTGAAATCAACCTGTAAGAGAATTAAACCTGACAGACTCTCTCTTCTCTAAAAAATGTGTTTTCAGCTGAGTCAGCTGAAACTTTGGATAGTCAAGAAGCAGTAATACATGCATTAGTTTTGCTATTAGACCATTCAAGTTGCTGGTAAAATTACCTACAGATTAAAAATATTGCCCTAAAAAATTATCTTACTACCAGTATTTTCAGTGCTGAATATATCCTATATGCCACTGTCTCTGCAACCAAAGGAACAACAGAGCTTGAAGAACTTTAGTGTTCTGTACATCCCACCACACAAATGAAATAAAACACTACATTTTTAGAGGGGAATCACAGAACACACAGAAAAAAACAAACGCTGCATAAAGGAGAGGCTATGAAACTAAGAGCCCCATTTATACTGTTCAGTGTTTGTTAGACCTAAGAGATAATGACAAATAATTCTGTCACCCAAGAAATGCCTGCAAAATAATCAAGTCAAGAAAAACCACTGCTCTGAGTTTGAACTGAAGCAGGAGTTATTACATGAGGTTGTGCTCCTTTGCATGGTTTAGCAACATCACTGTAAAGATTTCAGAAATTCATTCTAAGCCTTTTCCATCTACATTTAAGAATTATCTATATATTTGAGAATCTCCTGTGAGAAGGAGACCTACTACATTGAAGTGAGACAAGCTACTGAAAAGAGTATTAGCTTTGCCACAGCTACCTTGGCCAGAGGAGGCAGTATATACCTATCCACTCTTCCTCATGGCTTTGCATCAGGCTGAGGGGTACAGAACTACCCATGATACACAAGCTGAATTTGGCAGAACTTTCATACACATTAAACAGGCTACCATTAGACAAAAATAACCTGTCCAACCAGAGATCAAAATTCTACCTAAGGAATGGAAAAGTCTCCCTTGAAAAAGGAAGTGTCATTTACTATATTCCTGTGTTAATATCAGACACGTAATCTCCTCAAAATTCAGTTATGTTCTTCAAGTTTCAAGTAATTACCAGTT